TTTCACCGTGGTCTCGATCTCCTGACCTTGTGATCCGCCCGCCTCGGCCTCCCAAAGTGCTGGGATTACAGGCGTGAGCCACCGCGCCCGGCTGTATTATTTGTTATAGCCCAAGATTAAAAACAACTGAAAAGTCTATCCCCAGGGGACAGGTTAAATTAAAGTCCATCCATGGAATGGACTATCACGCAGCCATTAAGGAGAAGAATGAAGCAGCTCACTATGTGCTGAGACAGAACGGCAGGCAGGATGTACTCTGTTCAAGTGCAGAACCACAGACATCATATCCTATCAAATACACACACACACACACACACACACACACACACACACACACACACACGCTTACCTGAAGGCTTGCAGCTCTGGAGATAACCCAGAACCCTGGTTTCCCCTCCCTTTGCCTCCAGGGAGGGGAAATGAGAGACAGGAAACAGAGACAGAGTTCAGGGGCAGGTGAAAAATCTAATCTCTGTACATCCTTTTATATCTTTTGCATTTTAGACTAGATACATTTATTCATGAAAAAATATAATTTTATAAATGAAGATAAAGAAATGCATTAGTAAATAGGCTGGGCACAGTGACCCAGGCCAGAAACCCCAGCACATTGGGAGGCTTGCAGGGGAGGTTAACTTGAGCCCAGGAGTCTGAGACCACCCCAGGCAACATAGGAAGACGCTGTCCATCTCTACAAACAAAATTTAAAGATTAGCCGGGCATGGTGGCATGTGCCTGTGGCCCCAATTTCTTGGGAGGCTGAGATGGGAGGATGGCTTGAGCCCAAGTGTTTGAGGCTGCAGTGAGCTACTATGAGGGATACTGCACTCCAGCCTGAGACCCTGTCAATAATAATAATAATAATAATAATAATAATAATAATGGATAGTAATTCATGGCTGGGCATGGTGGCTGACTCCTGTAATCTCAGCACTTTGGGAGACCGAGGCAGGCAGATCACCTGAGGTCAGGAGTTCGAGACCAGCCTGGACGACATGGTGAAACCCCGTCTTTACTAAAAACACAAAAATTAGCCAGGCATGGTGGCAGGCGCCCGTAAACCCAGCTACTCAGGAGGCTGAAGCAGGAGAATCACTTGAACCCAGGAGGCAAAGGTTGTAGTGAGCCAAGATCGCGCCACTGCACTGCCTGGGCAACAGAGCGAGACTCCATCTCAAAAAATAGAATAGTAATTCACAGAAATGGCAAAAATCTCAAAGAGGGATGTGCAAACAAGTAAATGTATGGAAACTCTGTCCCACTACCACATGCGACTTTTTGTCCCTAGTCACAAAAGCTGCATGAAAGTATGAAATTACTGTGGTGGCAGCATCTGACCTGCAACACCAGTATGAGGACTCCGCTTGTTCCGAGTCCTACACTGTTCGCTACAGAACCAGGTGTCCTGTTGGATTATAAAATACTGAGTTATTGGCCGGGCACGGTGGCTCAAGCCTGTAATCCCAGCACTTTGGGAGGCCGAGACAGGTGGATCACGAGGTCAGGAGATCGAGACCGTCCTGGCTAACACGGTGAAACCCCGTCTCTACTAAAAAATACAAAAAACTAGCTGGGCGAGGTGGCGGGCGCCTGTAGTCCCAGCTACTCGGGAGGCTGAGGCAGGAGAATGGCGTGAACCTGGGAGGCAGAGCTCCGGCCACTGCACTCCAGCCTGGGCGACAGAGCGAGACTCCGTCTCAAAAAAATAAAAATAAAAATAAAATACTGAGTTATAAAGTTTACCACAGTAAGATATTCTTATACAGGACTCACAGCCTGATGTGCCAGACATTGGGCCCAACACTTTACATACACTATTGCCTGCATATTTGCAGCAGCTGTAGGGGCAAAGTATCACTCTTATCCCCATTTTACAGATAAAGAAATAAACGCAGAGAGCTTAAGTGACTCACCAGAGGTCAGATGCTTGTGGAAAGTGTGGACTCCAGCTCAGGCTTCCAGTTCCAGAGCTGAGCCCCTAACACTCCGCTGAACTTTGCATACAGAAGGTATTGGGTAAAGTCTTTTAACTAAGCCCTGGTCCTTTCCTTCAGATTAAAAATAAATTAATTAATTAAAGGCCCCATTATTCCCCAACCCTCAAATTTCTGTTAAAGACAGAGGCTTGGCTGGGCAGGGTGGCTCACGTCTGTAATCCCAGCACTTTGGGAGGCCAAGATGGGAGGATCGTGTGAGTTCAGGAGTTTGAGACAAGCCTGGGAAACATATCAAGACCCTGTCTCTACAAAAAATAACAAAATTAGCCAGGCATGGTGGCATGTGCCTATGGCCCCAGCTACTTGGGAGGCTGAGGTGGGAGGATAACTTGAACCTGGGAGGTGGAGGCTGCAGTGAGTTGAAATTGCACTACTGCATTCATCCTGAATGACAGAGCAAGACTTTGTTTCAAAAAAAAAAAAAAAAGGCTGTGCTCAGGTGCTGAATGCCTCAAGGGCAGATGCCCTTCCTCTTCACTGTATCTCAACAGCGCCTGGAACATAGTGGCCCAGTGTGTAGGTAGGAACTCAGAACACGAGTACTGGAATTGAACAGAAATAGGCAACGATGTCTCCCCCGGGAAGCCCTGATTTCACAGAACGGCGGTACCTTGCCCCTCTACAGGAAGGTGACTTGGTGGCTCCCAAGCGTGTCCTTCCATCCAGCCTGGCATGGCGAGAGTGGAGTTGAGAATGCCCCCAGGCCCCATCAAGGCCCAGGTGGGGTGGGAAGGGCAGACAAAGGCTCCTCCCCAGACCTCCCGGGGTCCTACATGGCAGAACTTGTGCATATGGCGCAGCAGAAGAGGTCAGGTTAAACAGTCTCTGAGTCAAGGGTCTAGAAGGAGCAGCAGTGGATGGGATGCCTGCCACCTCCCCAGGAGTATAAATCCAAGACCCTTGTAAGCATGCAGTGGGGGTCGACAGCAGGGGCAGGGGAGAAAGAGCCATGATCTCCAAAAATGTCAGCACTGGAAGATGGCCCGGGAGGGAGAAGCACTGCTTCAGCTACTCCCCCATTTTATAGATGAGGCAACTGAGGCTACAAAGATGATGTGGTTTGCTGAAGGACAGGGAGGTAACGGCGTGGCCGAGGCTGGATTCCTGTCTCCTGGCATCCTATGATGCTCCTTTTATCACCTGGAGTGGGAAGGCCACGATGGTTGTGTTCTGGGAGGACTCAAAATCTCTACTAGGGCATCTTTGGAGGTTTTCTACATGGAACAGGGGCTGAGTGGAAGGGCTGTGGCTCCCTTTCCCCTCAACAACCAGAGCAGTACCTCCCATTGGAGATTTTGCTGGAGAAGATGGTCCCTCTGCTATAACAAAGAAAAGCTGGAAGTCACTGGGCCTCTTTTCCTCTTTGGTTTCCCTGTCAGCTCTTTGCCCCTTGTCTACTCCCTGCCACTGCCATCCCCCCAGCAGCTCAGGTTCAGTCTGAACGGAGTCCTACCCCCATCAAGGCCTCTGCGGGGTCCCTGGAGACTCACCTGGCACATCCGGGGATGGATTGAGAATCATGAAGGCGTCTGATAGGCCGGTTTTGACAGGATGCTGGGAGGAGCTGATTTCCGGGACAGACATAGGGATCTGCGGCAGGGAGAAGAGGCTCCGTCCACCTCCCAAACGCTCTGGGGCCCACCCAGCCCTCCCCTGTGAGCTCCAGACCCATCTTTCTGGATGGCACCACCTCCTGGAGGACTCCAAAACAATGGGAGCCCAGTTGGACCCCACCCAAATTCCAAGTCCTCTCCACACCCCCTCCAAGCACATTTTCTTCTTTCCTTGGTCTCGGTGAATGGCACTCTGTGCAGGCCAAAAACCTGGGGCTCACCCTTTTCCCTTCCCTTTCTTTCATTTCTTCCCTTACCCATCTAGATAATGCACCTGCAAATTCTGTTGCTTAACCTGCTAAGTGGCTCTCAAATCTGTCCGTTTCTTTCCATTCCCCCCCATCCTATTCTAAACTGCTGTCACCTTTCTCCTAAATTACTTCCCAGTATTCTTTCTAAGCCCCCAACAACCTGTTCTCCACCCTGAAGCTAGAGTGACCTTTCTCAAGGGCAAATCTGTGGTTCCCTTGCCCCATCCCCTGCCCCTCACTCCCTTCCAGCCATGCTGCTGCTTCTTCTGTTTTTTTGTTTTGTTTTGTTTTTTGTTTTTTTTTTTTTGAGATGGAGTCTCGCTCTGTCGTCCAGACTGGAGAGCAGTGGCACGATCACAGCTCACTGCAAGCTCCGCCTCCCGGGTTCAAGCCATTCTCCTGCCTCAGCCTCCTGAGTAGCTGGGACTACAGGCACGTGCCACCACACCCGGCTAATTTTTTGTATTTTTAGTAGAGATAGAGTTTCACCATGTTAGCCAGCATGGTCTCGATCTCCTGATCCGCCAGCCTCAGCCTCCCAAAGTGCTGGGATTATAGGCGTGAGTCAACGCGCCCAGCTATTTTTTTTTTTTAAATAGAGGTGGGTGTCTCGCTATGTTCCCCAGGCTGGTCTTGAATTGCTGGGTTAAACCAATCCTCCCACCTCAGCCTCCCTAAGCACTGGGATTATAGTAATGAGCCACCACACTGGCTCACCATGCTGCCTTCTTTTTTTTTTTTCTTTTTTTTTTTTTTTTAGACAGAGTCTCACTCTATTGCCCAGGCTGGAGTGCAGTGGCACGATCTCGGCTCACTGCAACCTCCAACTCCTGGGTTCAAGCGATTCTCCTGCCTCAGCCTCCTGAGTAGCTGGGATTACAAGTGCCTGCCACCATGCCTGGCTAAATTTTTGTAATTTTAGTACAGACGGGGTTTCATCATGTTGGCCAGGCTGGTCTTGAACTCCTGAGCTCAGATGATCCACCTGCCTCAGCCTCCCAAAGTGCTGGGATTACAGGCATGAGCTGCCGTGCCTGGCCCATGCTGCCTTCTTTCAGTGCTTTGTGGCAGCCATGCTCTGTCCTGCCTCAGGACCTTTGCATGTGCTGTTTTCTCTCCTGGAACATACTTCATTCTCCTCTTTGCTTCCTGAACTCATATTTATCCTTCAGATTTCAACTCTTTTCCTCAGCAAAGCCTCCCCTGGCCTCTGTCAAGGTTAAGAGGTGTGTGAAAGGCTCAGCTAGCACCAGGCACCTCTACTTGGGAGTGCTTGCCACGGTGGTGATTCTACATTTGTCCCTGTAATTATTGTCCATCTCCGCAACCAGACTTACAGCTCCAAAAGGGTAGGACCTGCAACCATCTTGTTAACTGCTGTATTCCCAGCAGCAAGTCCCATGCCTGGCACATCGCGAATTCTCTAAATACTTACTGAATGAAGAAAGGCTCCAAGACCCAGCTATCTCTGCAGCTGGGCCTACTCACCTCTTTATAGCCAAAGACAATGCGGCCGTCACGGTGCAGAGCTGCCTGGAAGGTGAAACTGCCCCTGTCTTCCCAGCCTTGGAGATAGACATGGTCCCACTGAACCACAAAGACTGTCCCTAGGGAGAAGAACAGAGACCCGGCTGGACAGGAGATCGTGCAAGGAGCAGGGCCCTACAGAAATGCCAGCCAGAGGGTGATGGCCACAGGTTGGGATGATGGGGAAGTTTGCAAATTTAAGGAGGCGGGAGCTGGGCAGCTCACTAAAGCAGCCTGGCTTCGGAGCAGCAGAGGAGCCAGAAGATCCTGTACTTGATCATCTCTTTCCCTTTCCTCCTTGGGAGTCTATTCTGACTCATTGAGATAAAAGAAGGAGGAGTGTCTGTTCTTCTGGGTTCAGATGGGGTTCAAGGAACATCCTGGTGAAAGTAAGAAACAACAAAGGCCCCTAACATTTATTCTACCTCGACTAAGAGCCAAGCACTGTCGTTTTGTTATCTCATCAGATTCTTCTGGATGGCAGGCATTTTTGTCCCCATCTGACAGGTGAGAAAACTGAGCAGAGAAAGGTAGGTGGCCGCCTTGCTGTGGGACTGCGGGACTCTTGCCCTCTCTAGGCCCTGTGCTCCTCTAGAGGGCTGGACAAGGGATCCCTGGAGCTGGGTGACTTAAATTCTGAGATCCGGTCTCACCATTGTCAAAGTACACAACTGTGGAGTTGTCGGAGTAGCCAGGGTTGAAGTTGGCCATCAGCGGCGCCACATACTGAGTAGCTGTGAGCATCCGATGGATCACATCCCCCATGAAGATGAAGCCTAGGGTGGGAGAGGTGCAGAGGAGTCACCAGAAATGGCCCAGAGGGGCCACTCTGGGGGCCTTTTCCCCAAGGGCAACAAGGGCAGCGCGGGCGGAGTTGGAAGTGAGCCTGAGATCTCTGTCGCCCATCCCCATCTGGCGGGCTCGGTCTGGTGTGTATGGAGCCGAAGGGCCCTAGACAGGGTCCTCCCTGTTCCTTCAGCGGGACACAGACTCTAGGGTGAGGGGGCAGGAAGAGGAGGGGACTCGCAGCTTTTCCCATCCCTGGGGAAGTGGGATGTGGAACTGAAGTGCAGCGATTAAAGACAGAAGCCTCCTATCAATAGGGAGCCTGGCCCCAGGAGCCCAAGCTCTCAGAGGGGTCTCCCTCTCCCTCTTATTCAGCGACTCCGGGACACAGGGCTGTCCACACTGACTCATGCTGGCCCGAGGAGACGCACACACACACGCACATGAGCAGGTCAGTTGATGCAAGCGGGATGCTCTGACGTCTACTGACCCCCGCTCCTGAGAATCAGGTTCCTGTTAGAACCAAACGTGCATTCCTCCCATGTCATCTACACAACCCTGTCTCCAGTTTGCCACCCCTGGGAGGGCCCCTGAGTTCGGGCTGAGGTCTCCAAACCCTCCCCGGGGCCCCACGATGTGGTCTTACCTCCAGTTGCTATGGTGATCTGCCGCAGAAGATGCCCGTAGAAAGGGAAATCAAAGGACAAGACCACTCTCTGCAGGGGATGGGAGAGGGTCAGCACGCCCTGGGCACCCACACTGCCTCATGCTTGTTTGGACAGAGTGGGGAGCAGGCATGCCCAGGGCCACTACTGGGCACCCCAACTCTGGCAAAGTCCCATGGGAATCCCTGGAAGGTACCTCCCAGGTCACAGACCTCGGGCCACAGCCACGCCCACTGACCAGGCAGGGTGGGTTGGCCCCCGGCCTCCCAGCCCAGAGAAGCACGGCTGGGGACTGGGGCACTCACCGAAGCCTGCCGGTGGGTGTTGGAGAGTATTGTGTGGATCTTCACTTGGCTCCGGTTGGCCTCGGCCACATCTACCCACAGTTGCCGGCTGCGGGGCTCACTGGGGCCATAGAGACGGGACACATAATAACTGTGGTTGTCCTCCTGCCAGCACCAAAGATAAAACCCACAAGGAGGCGTGAGTAGTCAGCATTCCAGGAATCACCCTCTGTCCTTCCCCACTCAGACTTCCGGGTACAGGAAGTCACCACCCTCCCAGGGCGCTGGACCTGTGGCCCCGAGGGCTGGTTTAGGCCTAGGACCCCCTTGGTTCCCCCCTGGCCCCAGACAGCTCACTAGCTGGCCCCTAGGAGTACCCCAGCAGGCCTGGCCACAGTCAAATCCACACCTGCTGCACTCATGCTCAACCCTCCTGATCCCAGACAAGCCAGGAGGCTGGCAGCCCCTGAATCCCTTCAGACCGTGACCAAGGCTGAGCTTGGCTTGGGGCATGAGGGAGGAACACACAGGATGGCCCCAAACCGGGCCCTTGTTTTCAGGGAACTCCCAGGCCAAGGGAGAGTCATAGTCCCTGCCCTGGAAGAATACCCTATGTAATGGAAAAGAAAAATCTGAGCTGGACGTGGTGACTCACACCTGTAATCCCAGCACTTTGGAAGGCCAAGACGGGCGGATCACTGGAGGTCAGGAGTTCGAGACCAGCCTGGCCAACACGGTGAAACCTTGTCTTACTAAATATACAAACATTAGCCTGGCCTGGTGGCACACGCCTGTAATCCCAGCTACTCGGGAGGCTGAAGCACAAGAATCACTTGAACTGGGGAGGCGGAGCTTGCAGTGAGCCGAGATCGCACCACTGCAGTTCAGCCTGGGCGACAGAGTGAGACTCTATCCCAAAAAAAAAAAAAAGAAAAATCTGGATCTTAGAAGGCACCAGTCTAAAGGAGGAGGCTGCCTCTTGATCCTGGGGAGTTGCCAGTCTGGAATGGGACTTGTATAAACACAGGAGCACAGACCCTCAAGCAGAGCTGATACAGAACCCAGAGCCCACACAGCATCACCACGGGGGTGGGAAGGCGAGAGAAGCATCAAGGATTCCTTCCAGGCATACCTCTGAGCCTTTGCTGTGTGCCTGATGGAGATAAAATAAAGAAGCCAGAACGCTGTGGGCTGGGGGTTCATTCTGCAAGGCTCTCCTGCAGAGGAGCACTTGGGCCAGGGTTTAAAGGAGGCCAGAGAAATGGTTGGCAGAAAGACTTAAGAGCCAGAGTGGGGCGATGTGGAAGCACTTCCTGGAGCCGGCCCAAGAGCGCCAGCCGCAGGAGGAAGGCAGGCAGGGCAGGCAGGTTCCCTCGGCAGCCACCGCCACAGAGATAGGGCTGCGGACCGGTGAGGAGCCCTGGGTCATTAATCAGGCTGCCCAGTGGTGGTGGTGGCAGACACAGCAGAGCAAACGACATTATCCCTGCCAGGCTGCCACCTGCCCAGCCGACCCTTGCCCTGGGCCCAGCATGAGTGGGGACAACGGGTTCCTGCAATCCTCACCTGCCAGAAGGCACTCTGCTCTTACGACAAGTGACACACTCTGGGGACCTGGGGTCGGGGCAGGCCAGGGGAAGAGGAGCAGATAAAGCATGGTTGGTTGGTGTCAGGGGCTATTCCCTCTGCCACTGCCCTCCCTTCCTGCCTCCAGACGGCCCATGCCTCCACCCATCCTCAGCGGGGCAGTCAAACCAATCAAAAACACCTCTCTCTGTTCACAGGCTATCCAGGGCTCCCTCAAGACACTGTCCTCCAGACAAAAACCAAAGCTCTTAGGCTGGCGTGCAAGATCCCACCATGAGCCAGCCCCAGCCTCTCTCTAGCTCTTTCTCTCTCCTCTCACCACCTCATGCATCCTTGTGCACCCACCTCCGCAGACCAGACTCCCCTGACGGCCTCAAGCCATCAGTGGTCACTCGTGCCACTGCCCACGCTGGTCCTCCTGTCTGGAATGGCTGCCCTTGCCTTCTCCCTTTGGCAGATTCCTAGTCATTCAACACTCAGCTTAAACTCTGCCTTCTTTTATTTTTGAGACAGAGTCTCGTTCTGTCGCCCAAGCTGGAGTGCAATGGCATTTCCTCGGCTCACTGCAACCTCCACCTCCCGAGTTCAAGAGATTCTCATGCCTCAGCCTCCCAAGTAGCTGGGATGACAGGCGCACGCCACCATGCCTGGCTAATTTTTGTATTTTTAGTGGAGATGTGGTTTTACCATATTGGCCAGGCTGGTCTCAAACTCCTGACCTCAGGTGATCCACCCACCTCAGCCTCCCAAAGTGCTGGGATTACAGGTATGAGCCACTGCGCCTGGCCAAACTCTGCCTTCTTATCGGCCTTCCACCCCTACCTCCCTAATGACCTCCACCCCCTGGAAGTGGCCTCCACCATCCCTTATTTCAGGGGGTCCTCAAGGGGTGACTCATGTGTACTATTTGCAAAAGTCACATGGGGCCACTCTTGTTGGATTCCTGGTTTTACTCATAAAGCCACCTGGTAGGGGGCTGCCCTGATGCCACAGCCTCTGGGGTGAGGGCCAAGGATGCTGCTTCCCATTGCTGCCACAGCCACCAGCCCTGGAGTCTCGGGAGGGTACCCAAAGGGGGATGCACTGCTCTCCAGCTCTGCCTACAGGCACTGAAGCCACTGCTTCTGCCCAGAGC